ATGTAGTACCTATATATGTAATATCAAAGCAATTAGACTTGTTGTTTTTAACAAGAAGTCGAAAATATCACTTTTTACCAAAAATGACAAAAATATCCACCAAAATTAGAGAATTGAAGATATCATTACAAAATGAACAAATCTGAGAGACATCCACATGTAGTACCTATATATGTAATATCAAAGCAATTGGACTTGTGGTTTTTAACAAGAAGTCGAAAATATCACTTTTTGTTAAAAATGACAAAAATATTCACCAAAATCAGAGAATTGAAGATATGATCATGAAATGAACAAATTTGAAAGAGGTCTACCCAAGGTACATATACACCAAGTATCAAAGCATTCAGGCTTGTAGTTTTCAAGAAGAAGTTGAAAAAGTAAAACATTGACACGGACGACGGACACCGGACAATCACTCATACGATAAGCTCTGCTCGACAAAGTCGACAGCGGAGCTAAAAAGAGAGAAATACTTACCTGCTATATTATCCAAGTTATACTCAGTTCCTGGTTCCCATGCTGAATAAATATTCAAAAACTTTGTAGGATTGTTTCCAGCATCCTGTGATTAAAAGAAGATGAATCGTACATATACACCTACTGATACCTACAAGACGTACACAATGTGTAATTTATATGCACAAATTGCATAACAAATAAGAACTAAAATGCTTTTAAGCAGTTGAACACAGAATCACAAAGATTCGCTTTTTTTCTGAATTACTGTGGGCCCCAATAATTCAGTATAAGTATCCAGATGAATCATTAAATATTTCCCACAATTCATGCAAATTTTTACCTCCAAATATTTCACATGATTATCTCAATATGATCTGAGAACAACTTTAAAAACACAGAGTGATATTGATTTTTGTCTTTCGTTAACAAAATCTGAATGAGCCAACTTACTAACCCAACATACAGGTATCCATCCAAATCCCCGCCCCTTTTTGCCAGGAAATAGTGTTAAGACAATCACAGTTATGAACTTTGCTTCATGTACCTTAATAAAAGAGATTCCAGCAACAAGACCTTTGCCTGGTGGTAATCTGTTGTAAACATCTATTGATACAATCTCAGCATCCCCTAAAAACAAAACAAATATGGGTTCTTAACACACTCTTATAATGGATGTTGTTAACTGTTAATTTTTGTGAATATTTGTAAATGTAAATTCAAATTTAGGTGAGAGGTTGTGATTTGTTTTCGGGATGCTCATTTGAACATACCTATTGTTGATTGAACAACATTTCAATCATTTCAAAATTACAATCATCTTCACCAGATTTAACTAGATATTAGAGATTAATGTACAATGACATGTGATGAAGATCTCATGCTTTCACTAGAAAAATTTACTTCAGTGCAAATTTCACTAGAAAAACTTACTTCAGTGCAGATTTCACTAGAAAACTTACTTCAGTGCAAATTTCACTAGAAAACTTACTTCTGTGCAAATTTCACTAGAAAAATTTACTTCAGTGCAGATTTCACTAGAAAACTTACTTCTGTGCAAATTTCACTAGAAAAATTTACTTCAGTGCAAATTTCACTAGAAAAACTTACTTCAGTGCAAATTTCACTAGAAAACTTACTTCAGTGCAAATTTCACTAGAAAACTTACTTCAGTGCAAATTTCACTAGAAAACTTACTTCAGTGCAAATTTCACTAGAAAAACTTACTTCAGTGCAGATTTCACTAGAAAAACTTACGTCAGTACAACTTTCACTAGAAAACTTACTTCAGTGCAAATTTCACTAGAAAAACTTACTTCAGTGCAGATTTCACTAGAAAACTTACTT